ACTGACTCTTTTGCTGCTCAAGGCTCAGTTCAAAGGACCTGCTCTTCTGTGCTTTCTCTGCCTCTGGCAGATTTCCCTGCTGCCTTTCCTGCCCCAGCCCTCTGGGGCTTTGTCCCTGTCTGCCACCAGGAAGACCCTGTTTTCTGGCCTCTGCTCACTGAAGCAGTAAGCTGTGTGTCTAAATGTAGTGTGTCACACTAGTAGTCCTTTGGGGACAGGGCTCAATGGCTCTGCTCAGCTCCTACGCCCCCTTTACAACTCATGATTTCTGCCAAATGTTTACAAACTCACATTGACTGTATCCCAGGCTGGCTAGGAACTTGTAGTGTCCTTGTCACCATGCCTGTGACTTCCTAGATTTCCACTGGGTTTTGTTTTTATGTGTTTGATACAAGTTTATTACTGTGCCTTTGTTGCTGTAGGCTTTGTTCCTTTGCTGCAGATCTGTGGTTGCACCTCAACTGTTTACTACGACTGGCTGCTCATGATTTCTTTCTATTTAGTCTCCCGACATCTTTCTATTCTTAACTTCTGCTTCCTTTATGTGCTTCTTAGAAACAGTATGTAAGTAGGTCTTGTGTTTTAAGCCAATCTATCAGTCTCTGTCTTTACAGAGAATTCAACATTTCACATTGAGCATGATGAATAGTTCTTAGTTTTGTTCCCTCTGTCTTTATTAGTTTTTACCATTATACTTGCTTTCCTTATTTTTGTTGGTTTAATCAAGCTCATTCTAGTTTTTCTTCTATGAATGAGCAAGTTTTCTTATTCTTCTATTCCATTCACTCTCTGCTTAAAGTCTGATTCATATTTTTGCATTTTCCTTTGAAACAGTGCCAACTCTTCCTCAGCTCCTCATGCTCTAGGCCCTTACTCAGAAAGATCAGTCTGTAGAGCCTCTTCTTTTCCTTCTGGGTGACACTCCAGATGCCTTAACCTCTCTGCACTCCCACCCTATGACCCAGTTCCTGGGGCTGTAGAGTGAGTGGAGCAGACCAGCTGTAGGTGTGATTAGGACTACCCCACAGGAAGCTCATGCTGCTCACGCTATAGCAAGAGCTGTTTACCATGTAGACAAGGAACAACAAACAGGCCAGAGTGACAGACTCTGCCTGGACCTGTTTTTAGATGCCTTGTGAGCTAAGAATAGCTTTTAGATTTTCTAATGGGTTAAAAAGCATTCTTTTAAAAAAGAATATCTTGTGATACGTGAAAACTAAATGAAAGGCAAATTTTAGTGTTTGTTAATGAAAAGTTTTACTTGAACACACGTTTAGGTGCTGTTTATGGCTTTTTCTACCAGCATAGGAACAGCTGAGGCAGAGATCAAATACGGTGCTCAAGGACTTCAAACTACAGGAACAGAGACGGCCCAACAGTCCATACCCACTACACTCACCTAGTGACTTCTGTTAGCAGTGCTGACGCTTTGTGTAAAAACAAGACACAGTGGGTTTCAAATGGTGCACAGTGGAGGCTTAGTGGGGTATGGGTTGTCACCTTACCAAGTTCCACAGCAAAGCACTGTGCTTGATATTAGTTATGTTAACAGAATATAACATGCCCTGACATCACAATGATCCTGACTTGCAGAAAAACAATGGTCAGAAAAATGAGAAACTTTAAAACAGTACATCTTATCATTGAAAACACAAAGAAATTAAAAAATGGGAATGAAGCTTGAGCCAAAGTTTCTGAGTGGCTCATTTGTCAGTCAAGCAAGGAAAGTCATTTACCAATGGTAAGTTAATGAAATTATGTTTGGTCACAGCAGTTGAAAAAAAAGTATCCAGAGAAAATAAGATTGTTTAAGATGATTAGATTTGAAGTAAGAGCTGTTTCTCAGGCTTGGCCCAGGCTGCCATTTGTTTTGTGTGACACCCCTAAGTTCAGGCCCATCTGTGAGGCACCTGACCTGCACAGCGAAGCAAGTGCAATAGAAGATGGTGTGCTCTGAGAGTTAGCACTTCCTATGTGCCAAGTACTGCTTTGATTGACACCAATCTGGATCCTGTTACAATTTCAGTCTCAGCTTCTGCTGTGAGGATGAACTTGGGCCATCTTCTTCTATTTCCTGGGTTGACATAAACACGGGAGCTCAGTAAGGTTGACTGTAATGATGACACCTTTACAGGCAGCAGGCACAGAAGGGCCAGGTGCCTTAGTCTATGGTCAGGTGGGACATGTTCATTCACACACGTCTATGAAGGCAGTGCCTCTTTTCATGAGGAAGTGAGAACATCTCAGGTGCCCAAGCTGGTTGTGTTCACAAGACAGGCAAATGTACTGAGTGCAAGCACTGCAGGCCAGGGGAAGAGATCTATTTAGATAAGATTTAACCTTGCAAGATAACCTGACTATCCAGAAACTTCTTTGGCAGAAGAATACCCAGGAATATCTAGAGACAGTCAGCACAGCCACGGATGTGTCCTACGAAGAGGAAGACAACTTTCATGTGCAAGTTTCACTCTTCCTATGTGTCTATCACTCCCACTGTTGCCACAGACATCAGACTCCAGCTTCTAATGGACTTGCACTGTCCAGGAACCTTTCAGACCTTCAGCCTTGGACTTAGTCCTAGTGCAGCTAGGGCTGCATCACTGGTCTCCCATGTTCTGAGGCTTCTAGCAGCCACAGGGTCCTCAAGGCTCTCCAGTATACAGACAGCCATCGTTGGATTGTCCAGCCTTTAATCTTGTAAGCCAATCCAATACATTTCCTTTTATGAGACACCCATACATACATACATACATACATACATACATACAGAGAGAGAGAGAGAGAGAGAGAGAGAGAGAGAGAGAGCACGACCCTCGGGGTTCAAGTCCTCTAGAAAACTTGCCAACACAGCTGCCCCTCAGAACAGCCCTCTGGTCACTTGTGAATTACCCTGGGAATTGTACTATGTTCTGGTTTCACCTAATGAGAGCAGGCTCTCAAGTGTGAAGTCACATGCTTCATGCCTGTGAGTATAAGACTATCCACACTTGAGATGAATGAGTTTTCTGAGACCAAATGGCCATCTCTGGTGGCCTTGAGCCTTGGCAGTGTAATCTGCAAACTCTAATGCCTTACCACACCAGAAGTCTGTTGCCAATGAGCCTCCAGCTTTTCTAGGACAAGTCTCTTAACTTTTTGGGCAAGAATCTGACAGACCAGAGCCTATTAGTCCCAAGTTCAAATTCTTACTCTATCCTTGGGCAAGTCATAGCAATCCCTTGAGCAGCTTCTCAAGCTGGCCTTTGGGGATAGGCTCAGAATAGGAAGAAAATTCACACTCACTAAGTTAATTTCTGTTTTGCTTGAACCCCCCCCCTTTTTTTTTTTACCATGTGCATGTTATTTATTTATTTGATAAAAAAAAGATATCAGAAAACTATCTCCGCAGGGTTATAAGAATAAAAATAAATACAAATAGTTTAGGCATATAGTAGGTGCTTAATAAATAGCAGGGGGGAGCTGTGTGAGGCAGGTTCATTCCTGCCTTGGGCACAGAGGCCTTCCCCCTGGTGTGAGACAGGTGCCCATTCGGCTAAAGCCATGGGTATGCCGGCTAAGGCACAGATGTTGGCTCCAGCCAGGACACATATGCCCTTTCCTTCCCTGCAGGAGCTTCAGGAACCCTCTGCACCCACCACAGTCTCCTGAAGCTGTTCCTGGCTGGAAAAGCCTGTGGGATCTGATTATGTGACTACCAGTTTAGGGTTTGGTATCTCCCTGGATTGAGCAGGAAAAGGCTGGTAGTCTGGGCTGCCCCAGCCTAGTTGCAGGACCTGGGTAGGCATGTCTTCCCAGCTCTTCTCTGCTGCCCTTGGGAGGCCAAAGTCATTTCAGCAGAGTATTTCCTTGCTCCTCACCAATGCCTCTCAGTTCTCAAAGGAAGTGACAGGCCCAAGGGGAACAATTAGACCTGGAGCCATATGAACAGCACATTATTCTCTAATACTTTACTACAGAATAATTACACCCTATAATGCTACTAATAAATCAAGCTGGGTGAACAGTGACATTCATTTTATCACCCCATCTGCAAGCAGCATCTCTGCTGTGCTGAGGTAGATGTGTCTCTGAGGCAGAGAGGCAGGGGATCTGAGTACCAGAAAGTCTCTGCAACAAGGGAAGGGAAGGGAAGGCAGAGAGCTCCAGAGAATACTTGTGTGCTAGAAGAGAATCCCAGAGTGGGTCCCTACATGCTCAAGAGCATACTCAACAGGGAGAGACATTGCACACTGGCAGCTACACTGAGATGGGGAAAAAGGAATGCTTTTGTCTTTCTGACAGGGCACAAGGGGCTGTTGAAAGCCAGGGGTAGGCTTGGGTTACCAGCACCCTGTGCTGATTTGGTGGAAGCCCTGCTACATCCTGAGGCCAGTAACCTCCTTGATGCAGCCGAGAGGTAGGGGGGTGGGGGAGAAGATGTAGGCCAGAAGTGACAGGTCTGGATATCTAGGCACCCTTCATTCTAGGCCTGGATTCCTACTCAGCGTGCATGTGCAGAGTCAGAACAAATAGTCAACCAAAAGGTTTTGCCAGCACTTCTGAAAAGCTATGACATTATGTATACCCCAGTGACAGGCTTTTAATGACAGCTGTGACCAGTCAGTGATCTCAGTGTACCCAGGCAGCCAGCAACCCGGCTTTCTCTTCTCTTGCTCCCTACACCTCTGTACTCACTTGCCACCCTATAGGCAAGGTGGACCTGGACTTTGCCCAGAGGCACAGTACTCCCCCTGGTCATGTGAATCTGGACTGGGCCTGGCAGAATCCAGCTGCATGGAGAACAGAGCCCAGCAGAGGCAGGAAAAGGCCAGCCTGCTGAACCTGCAAGGTCTCGGTACAACCCAGCTCTGTGTGGGCATGGTAGAGGAGACTCAGGCCGCCTGGTGCCCTGGCTTCAGCCATCTAGTAGAAAACCTGAGGGACTTTTGGTTCTAGTCCCAGCTCAGACTAGCGGCCTGGTACTGAGCAGGGAGAGGAAGGAACCCAAGGGCTGTGCTTACCCGCTCCACTAGGCCGTGCTTGTGCTTCAGCTTGTATACCCTCAATGCAGGCAGGAAGCTCTCTGTGTAGTTCTTGTCCTCTAGTCCTTGGAGCAAAACACCATGGAAGGCCAATCGGCATGTATTGGCATGAATGTCTGCATCCAACCTGGATCCAATCACCAGGCAGAGTCGGGGACAGGTGACCGGCTTTTCAAACTCTACTAGGGCCCACTGCTGCTGGGGGCAGCGACCTTCTGGGGCCTGGCCCACCTTCCCATCACCCTCATTACCACCGTCTGTGGCTACCAGCGTGGAATCTTTGCACAGGTACTGCTCTTGAAAGAGGTATTCTCGGGAGAGGTCGAAGGAGTCCAACACTGGCTCCAGGTCAAAGCTGTCTGGAGCAAGGCTGAAGAACAGCATGCGGCCCATGACTGTCTCATGGCCCACTGTGATATGGAACTTGGCTTTGGTCTGCAGGGGCCCCCGGAAGTACGGGATCTTTTCCACAGAGATGAGGGCTGCATGGATGGTATGCAGGGATTCAGGAGTACACACCAACCCACGCTCCAGCAGCTTGGGGTCAAACTGGGTGACACAGATGCCCAGCCGATCTCCCTGAATGGCGTAGGTGACAGGTGTATGGAACATCTGCATGGACTTTACTTTCTTCACCACCTGATCAGGAGAAAGAGAGAGAACACATAAAACTTTGAGCCTTGAGTCTAGAGCCGGTTGGCTTTGCCCCTGTGCCCCCAACACTCACCTATCCCCAGTCCTGAGTGGAGATCTACACAAACAGTGGAAGGAAAGCCAGGATTCAGTCAGACCTTGGGCAGAGCAGGGAGCACCCTGAAAAGCCAAGGCCTAGGACGCCAGGCCAGGTAGGGTCAGGCCACTCCCCAAGTCATCCCTGTGCCATCATGAAGGCAGTGGCTGCCTCAGTTCCCTCTGTCCTTTGCTTCACCTGAGCTCTAGTCACTCCAGTTTCTCCCTTTTCATCAGCTGTTCCAGCACATTCCAGCCCTACAAACAGCCTTGCTACCTAGCCCCAACAACTAGCCAGCATCTCATTTGTTTCTGAAGGCCCAGGTCAGATGCCAGGCTATACAGTCTGTAACTGATGACAGAATTTGCCCCTGGTTCCTAGATGGCCTGCCTCCCTGGTCTGTGGAACCTCCACCACTGTCTAGCCTGTGTCTGCTGCCTGCCAGGGCTGAGGCTCTCTGAGCAGTCTTTCTCTGGTTTTTCCATATATCCCCTGTGCCTATCATGTGTCGGGCTCTATTCCAGGGGAATGACCAGAACAGCTCTGTTCCAAAGAGCTACTATATAGCTAGGACAGGTATTTATATTAACACTACTTTATATCAATAGCTAGGACAGGTATTTATATTAACACTACTTTATATCACAGACTAATATATAAAAATGTATGTAGATATTTACTGCAACATAGTTCTGTAATGTAGGTAGCATAAGCCATGAGAAACAAGACCATGGTCTGAGGTGGTATGGGCTCTGCCTTTTGCCTCTGTAGAGGCAGCCTTTGAGCTGAGGCCTATGGAGATCCAGAGTGAGATAGGTCTGAGCCAAGGCACTGGTAAGGGTCAGGTCTAGAGATGGAGCTGCCTGTGAGGCTAAGCAGTCAACAAAGAGGCAGGAGGGCGACTGCAGGGCAGAGGTCAAGGCCTAGGCGCCATGCATATCACCCTGGACTGCCTGGAGTTACCCGAAGAGGCAACATGATCTTATCTGTTTGTGAAAGGTAAAACTGACTCCACATAGAGCAGGCTTCTGCCTCCACAGTCTGCAAATCAGGAACAGACACAGCAGAGCTTCTGACAAGTGTTCTGAGATGGTGGGCATTTCTACTGTGCCCTACTCATGAGATGAGATTAAACGATTCCTGCTGAACAAAGTAGAGAATGTGGAACCCATTTCAGAAAATCTAGCAAGAAGAACTGAATGGACCTGGAGAGGATTTTGATGCAAGTGTCCCTGTCACTAGGGCTGAAGGTGGGTACCCATACCTCTCCTCCTGGATGGAGCTGAAATCTGTATTGGTGGCATACAGGCGCCTTTCCCCAAAGCATCACACACAAGTGTTTGTTTAAAGATCATTAACTCCCTACCCACCAGGTCAGAGAGCAGAGAATGTGAGAAGCAGTGTCAAAAGCCACAGCCAAGATCAATCAAAGGGAACTGCAAGCCTCCTTGAAGGTGGCCCGAGAGGCAGTGTGTGACAGGGACTTCAGGGAATCTACCAGAGGGTCCTTGTTGCCTCACTGAGCCATCTACCCAAAGTGGACCTGAATCCCTGCCTGTCTCCCTGGGGCAGAATTCTACACTGCAGAACTGAGGAGTATCTTTGTCACAGCTTCTGTGTGTTTCATGACTCACACCCTCAGTCACAGCTCTTGGACTTTAGGCAACAGAGGGCCTCCTACACAGGTAGGGCTGTCACACTCCTGGGACCCTCTGCCACCTGGGAGGTACTCTATAGATGGTAGCACTCCACCCCCCAGCTGTCAGTGAAGCCCTTCATGCAGCCCAACTCCATAGGCACCCCTAACCCTTCATACCCCTTCAAGCCATAGTTAGGGGTCTCAGGAACAAATCTCTACACATAGTGGCTCTAAATGTCCCTGAGCTTTGCCAGGAGTTCCCTCCTGCCTGGATTTCTTCCTCTTGGCAAATCTGTGGTATCCCTACCTCCAATTTCAGGGTACCTTGGAAAAGCTGTATACTCTGACCCTGATGCTGCTTTACAAGCTAATCATCACCCCTTCAAGGCAGGTTTAACTCACATGGCAGTGAACATCCACCTGAAAGCCTATCAGCACATCTAAGTTCCCCAGACTCTAGTCACCAGTCCTTGACCCTGCTGTACTTTTCTGTCCTCCCCCTCCCAAGTATGCTACATACTCTGGTGCAGGAACCCACTTTCTAGAATTTGATGTCCAATATTCTCTCTCCTTTCCCACAAATGTATGATTGTAGAGGCTTTTGACACAAGAAATGACTGTCTTACTTGGGTGAGCGGCTAGTTTTTTTTTAAAGGAGTGTCACTATAGTTAGGGTACAGAATCCTGCACAAGGGTAGGTGCTGCTGGTCACTGTAACTAGGGTACTGAGAACCCTGTACATGGGTGGGTGCTGCTGGTCACTGTAGCTAGGGTACTGAGAACCCTGCACACGGGTGGGTGCTGCTGGTCACTGTGCTTAAGGTACAGAATCCTGCACAAGGGCAGGTGCTGCTGGCCACTGTAGCTAGGGTACTGAGAACCTTGCACATGGGTGGGTGCTGCTGGTCACTGGCTGGAGACTGCCTGCCACAGCCTCAGACTTAGCCCAAGTTTTCCTATTCTTGCTCACTTGAAGTGGCTATTGCTGGGAAGTGTTATGCTAAGCTAATCCTCTCATTAGGGTACAGCCAGATAACTCAATACAAGGTGGGCTCTCTAGGGCTGGGACCCTTGAGCAGGACTGCAGGGATGTAGGAGTGAGCATTCAGCTCTGCCTGAGAAGCTGAAGAATTCTTCAACATCTGCCACTGCCAGATTTCTTAATATATTTGCCTATCAAATATGAGTGTCTTCTCTTTGAATTCAAGAGATTGGGATTGTGCTCTAGGTGCTATTGTACCCTCAGTGCAGCACCCTACTCTGACAGGCCCAGCATGTGCCTAGCCCAACTGGAGACTATGTGGGGCTCTGGGAGAGGATTGCCCCTTGTGGCAAAGCACCTCGTTGAGATTCCAGACCTGTCTTGGCTTGAGCCAGAGCTGCCTTTTTTTTTTTTTTTTAAGACAAGGTCTCACTATGTCATCCCAGCTGCCTGGAACTCACTGTGTAGACCAGGCCGACCTGGGTCTCACAGGGATCTGCCTGCCTCTCTCTCCTGAGTGCTGGGATTAAAGATGTAATCTACCACACCTAGTCAAGCCAGAGCTTCTTGAGAGAGGCAGCCAGGGACCTGTACTGGCCCCACCCAGGACCAGACAGGCTTCATATACAGCACGCTGTCTCATGTTCCCAGGACTGAAATAATAAAGAATGCCTTGCGAGTGCATACGAAGAGCAGAGAGGCAAATAACTGAAGATCAAGATTTCAAGGGATGAGACAGGAAATTGTGAAGCAGATAACGATGGGACAGGCAGCGTGGCACTATTTGGCTCTCCAGGGCACAAACAGTACTGCCACAGTCATCTGGGAGGACAAGAATAGAAGATTGACCTAGAGCACTAACAGAGAGCAGATGATCCTGCCAATCTGGTAGTGGGGACACAGGTCTTCCTTCTAGTCATTCATTTTCTAGTTTTGTGAGACTCTACCCATCCACTCAATGACAATCACACACTCCTTTTATACCCATCCACTCAATGACAACCACATACTCCTTTTATAGTGTGGAGTAGCTGAGGTTTATGTGCATCTTTAAAGGATCAGGTTAGCTACAGAGTGGAAAACAGACAGAGGAAAAATGGCAAGGAAGACCCTTGTAGGTCAAGACCCATTTTCAGCATTTTGTTGTGTTTTTGAGGCAGGATTTCATGCCTCGAATGCCTGATTCTCTTGCCTCTACCTCCCCTGAGAGTATAACTGTGTGCCATCATTCCTAGTTTCCAAATGTATGTAAGGACAAGAACAGCTTCCAGGTCTCCAATGGCCTAGGAATGGAGTTGGGGAGGGGGGTGTCAGACAACTTCCCCTTCTTTGGATTACTTGGCCCCAACAAAATTGAAAATCTCCTTCAGGCTTCACCACCTCAAAACAGTAGCTCCAGGTTCTCAGAGCTCAAGTGAAATGGGTATGTTCCTTCCTGGTTCTCCCTGTGTTCATACAGCCATATCTCTGTAACCAAGAGCAACAAGCTTTGCCTTCTAGGTGGGCCAGCATAGCCTCAGCATGGCCCCTTCATATGGGCTTCCTTGCTTTCCACAGAGGATAACACAATCCTGGGTCTTTGCCCCTAACTCTCACTCAGTCAAAACTAAGGTCCTGCCAATGAAAGGGCATCCATGCCCCCATCAGTTTGCCTTCTCTGCCTTGTTTAATTTTTTCTTCTTAGCACTTAAAACACACAACAATCTGTATTTTGCAGACTGTCTTGCATGCTGAAATTTCACCTCTATGAGAACAAGTTCTTACTGTTTTCTTTTTCATTTCATTCTTCTGTGCCCTGTACTAGGAGATCTTGATATACAGGTGCGGATAAAATGAAGGGACCTATGAGTGGAGACACCAAAGCTGCAATCAGTCTGAGATTGAGGGCTGCCCACCTACCCAGGTCAGGGGACACAACACAATGGGGGAAGGTAGGGGTGTGTGTGTGTGTGTGTGTGTGTGTGTGTGTGTGTGTGTGTGTGTGTGTGTGTGGGGGGTTGGTCCTTGTGGGATATTAGTGGTCCACAGGCTAAGGAGTCTTTAGGCAGGGGAGAATAGACAGAGGCCTTATGATAAGGTGCCCTGGGTCACTAGTGATCAGTTAGAATGGCACAGAAAGCTAGGTGACAAGGCTGGAGTATTGCTGTACTCTAAGCATTAGGAGCCACAGGAAGGCCCCTAAGTTCAGCCCAGCTCCGGTCCTACCATCTCTCCAGGACTAAGCACTGCTGGGGAAAGAAGGTATAGACTCAGGGAGGGAAGGAGAGAGGGAGGAAGAATATATCAAG